TTTCTATCACTTTTGCATTATCTGTGGAAATTTCAATAGAATTTAATTTTTCATCGATAGCTTGATCTTCTTCAATTTCTGGTAAAGATTCAGTTACTTTTTCCAGAGGACTTTTCACTTGACGTTTTGGACCACCAGGTCTTGTTATAAAACCTTGAAAATTTGTGATTTGCGACGGTGTTAAAGTCATAGATATAGTTTTTTTATTCTTAATGTTACTGTTTTGTTCATTAACATGGTTTGAAATAGGGGGCTCAGATAATCTCCGTTGTGGTAATATATTTAAGTAAGTTTCCGTAGGAAATTTTATTTTGGCTGAGTAAAAGATATAAAATCATTAGATTATTATCGGTAAAAAAAAAAGTTTATATACTTGAATAATATAAGAAATGAATACTTGCATGTATCCAAAATATGGATTATTCCTTTTGAATCCAACGATTCTCCACCAAAAATAAAAACCTTGTCATCTGCTGCAGTCATTGTATGCCCATAGCAAGGACTCAAAAAGATGCACCAATTCTTATCAATAAACATCAAACAAACAAAATTCAACTTTTTCCTATACTTAAAATTTATTCACCTTGGTGTAGGACCCATTTTCTGAAATATATGCCATATATTTTCTAAATAAAAGTATTTGGATTAGCATTTTTATATAAAATTCACTAACATTATACAGTATTATAAAGCTTTTTTTTGAAACAACTACGGTTTATTCTGAATGCGGTTAAATCGGATAGTTCTTTATTATCATTTGTAATTCCACCAAAAATATAAATTATATCATCCACAAGAGCAGCTTTATGGTAACAACGCGGAAATGGATTAAAGTCCATTGATGAAATTTCAGACCAAGAATTGTTTTGTGTGTCATAGCACCACATATCATTATAACATCGGATTCCATCAGTTCCTCCAAAACTTATAAAGATGAAAGTTTAATTAGTATATTTAAGTAAAATCGTAGATATTGATAACCTTAAAACACACACATACATGTAAATTTTATTCTTATATGCACATGCAATATGTCCAGTCCTGCCAGACGGTGCATAATTCGAAGGAGAAATAATCTTCCAACATAAATTTTGTGATTCCACTATGAATGAGTATAATGAGTATAAAATATTTTTTAAATTCTATTCTAATACGGTTATTATTCAAA